AACTATGAGTATCAAAGTCAGGTAAATTAATACTTCTATCTAATATACGAATTTGTTGCTATTGTTGAACATTGTAAAGTGTATTCAGAGTGTATATATTAGGATGTATAGAGTAGAATTAGAAGTAGACTGAGCTAGTTTAGCTTTTTGTTTAATGATATTTGTATATAGGTTTGTAATAGAGTTGCAAGAATATTTTAATAGATAAGTACTTTGTATCTGATATGCTGCATGTGTAAGAATTACATTATTGATAATATAAATAGCCTGTTTGTTAGTTATTTTAGCAAATTTGATTTTGTTTAAATTAGAAGTAATGTCTTTAATAAGAAATTTTTTTGTAGGTTGAAGAGATGGGTCTCAAGTAAGCCATGCTCCTAGATGTTTAAATATTGCTTTTTGTTAGATATTTGGTATATTTTTTTTCTGAAATACTATATTAGCATTAGAATCTGAATTGTTAGTTACTAATGTTGATTTGTAAGGATTGACTTTAATATTGGCATAGGAGAAGAAGGAGTTGACTATTTTTAGTATGTTTTGTAACTCTTGTTTATCTTTAGCTATTCATATTGTATCATTTATGTATGCTACTATGGAAGTATGTATTGATATAGTAGAAGAATATGTATGAGTTTTAAGTTGATAACCTTGATATGTTGTATCAATTCGGTTAATAAGTGGATCATAGTAGATTCTCTATAGGATTGGAGAAAAGGTCTCTTTTTGATCAATTCCATCTTGTACAGTATAAGATTGTATTAGTCCAATGCTTGTAATAACAGAATTTTGTCTGTTGTTAAGAAGATGATTTAATAAGTTTATAATCGAAGAAAGAATATGAATTGGTTGAAGTGTCTTGATTAGTAGAAGGATGTGTACTATATTATAGGCTTTGGACATATCTTGTGCTAAGATCCAGTATTTATTTTTTGTTATATTAGTATGCTCTATTATATGAGAAATAGTTTGGATAGATTGAAGGATAGAAGTAAATAGAAGTGCCACATTGTTATTTGGATTTAAGATTGGGTATGGGTAAGGATTTTATTTAGTCAGTGGGTAATTATTTTGGTAAAAATTTTCTGAGTATGTTCAATTAATGTTATCAATCGGATATATAAAAGATCATTATTATAATGCTGTTTTTTTAAAATAGCTAAATGTTTGTGTGTCCCTAGCTACTTGGTGTTTTTTCAATTATCAAATATGCATTGAAGACCTGAAAAAGAATTTGTTTTGCTAATGTTGAAAGGTGTTGAATCATTTCATTAGATATTTCTGAAGAGCTGGTAGCTTTGTGTAGTAGTAATAATGTTATAGTTTCTGTTAATTCAAAGATTAATATTGGTTGTGACAAGTCATTGTATATGTTGGAGTTGATATTTGGTAAAGGTTGAAGAAACTGTGTTTATTCATGTTTGAAATTAGGGTTTGTTGAATTGTGTTTAATCTAGTTGTTAAAGTGCTCTTTTGTTGCTTGTTTTATTTCTTTTAGATTATTAATTATTTTATCTAATATTATGATTTTGTTGAAAGAAACTTGGTTTTAATTGCATTTAAGTATACTGTTTATCATGCATGATGTGTTTGATTTTATATTATTATATCTTCATTGTATATAGAAATTTATTTTTTCTTTTTGTACATTTTGAATTTCTAGACTGCAGACTTTCTATAAGGTTTTTTTAAGCTGCTTTATAATTTGCTGAAAATTATTAAAGTTTGAAGTGAGGTCCTGAATTTGGCATAAAAAAATAGGTTATTTTGAATATGATGATATTTGATAAAGTAAATTATTTAGATTTTGTATTGTAGACTGAATTGAAGTTGAAGGTTTGATGTTTCTTAAGATAAAAAGACATTTGTTTGTTAATTTAAGTGCTAAATATAATTTAGTTGCTTTTAGAGAAAAGATATAATGTTTTTTAGACACTGTATATGTTTTTTGGTATTGTTTGATTTATGGCTTTCTTTATTGAGTTTGACTTTTTGTTTCAGAGATTGTTTAATTGTTGTAGTTTTGTAATATTGTGAATCGAATTTATTAACTTAATTTCAGTTTTTAGTTTGTTAATAAAGTCTTTTCATAGAGGTGTGATGATCTAGTGAAATAGATAGGTTGTCAACCCCCAAGTGGCAGGTCTAGAGTTCAAATTCCAATGATGGTAAAAATTTGCAATTCTTTTTGTGTTATGGCTAACTGTCTTCCATGATTGGTTGGGATAGAATATCTGTAATCTGTGTTATACCAGCCTGACTGAAAGGTCTAGGCATTTGTGCAACATTGTATGAAGGAACACAAACTGGTACTGGGCAGTGTGAACCCAAGATAAGTCCTTAGGCCATGTAAATCATAAGAACCAGATAGGAGAACAGAAGCCTACTTGGAAAACCCAAGTAGAGAGGTAACCCAAACTTTTGACAATGCTACTGTAAAGACTAAACCTATGAAACAAAGCTAGAACTTGTGAAATCAGACAAAGAGCCGGCCTTTGAGAAGAGGCCAAATGGAACCAACTAGGCCACCAGAATTTCCAGATTTTGGAGAAAAAGGTTACATGTCAGCAAACATGTAAACCAAAGATGTATAGTTACAATCTGCCTTTCTGGGCTATCTGGTTTGGAAGCTTGGTGGAACTTGAATTAAATACCAAAGTAGTAGAAATATGTTGTGAAGTCAGTACCAGGATTGGGATGAACTCTACAAGGGCATAGCAGTTAAATGGTATGCCCTGACTACTAGTGTTAGTTTGGCCATAGTGATACCAGGTTAGCTGTAAGAATGGAATACAGAAGATTCTGGAAGGTTTAGTACAAGGTCAAAGGTTTCTTATATAAGTGAACTGCTTTAAAGACTTAGTGACTATGGCATATTTGCATCAATATTGACTGGGGCATCTTGGTAGGTGTAGGTAGGTAAGTAGATATGAGAACAGAATGGTTAAATAAGGAACTTACAAGTAGGTTTCAGATATGGCAGCTAGTGTAGAACCTTCAGATGAACTACTTAAATTAGACAATAACTAAAGTTGTATGAGTAGCTAGTTGTATACTCTTTTCATGATTGCCCTCTGTGGTTGTAATGCAACTATTAGCTGAATGTACTATCAATAAAATCTTGAGTTGCAAGTACTCACCTTAATATTTTAAAAAAAAAAAATTAAAAATATAATATATTTAATAAAATTTTATTTTAAGATTTTTTTTAATAGATATTTATAAATATTATATTATGTTTACATTTTACAATAAATTTATTGTGTTTAATAAATAGTAATTTGCTTATTATTTTAGATAATAAGTAATTTTTTTTAAAAGTAATTTAGTTATTTGCATCTGAAAAAAGTTATTTACTTACAATTAAAATAGCAAAAATTAACAAGTATTTATAGATTACTTTACTTATATAAAAAAAAAAATTAATTTTGATTTTACCAAATACAGATATCTTTTAATTAAATAGTTATTAATTTTAGATATATATATTATCTGTTCAATGCTTATTATTACTAATATTAAATATTTTTTTATAAAACTAAATGTAGTAGTTTATTTCTAATGCATCAGCTTTAATTATATTTTGTCAAGTTTTAACTTTAGTATTTAGTTAATAAATTGTTTTTTTTCATAAGTTTTTAAGATAATATATTTATTAATTTTAATTATAAATTTAGTATAATGATTATTAGCTTAATGTTTTTTGATTTTTCTGAACCTTTTTAGTAGTTTTACAAAGAATTATAAATAATATTGCAAAGCTTTGAGATTATTATTTCAGATAAAAATAGTTCATTATTATCATTAAAATTTTTATTACTAAAATCTTCTTTCAATAATCTTTTATCTAAAATTTTAATAAAATTAAAAAATTAAATTATATATTAAATTAATAACTTATATAAATAAGAGACTAATATTACCAACCTATTTTTAATTTTTTATTTAAAAAAATATATAAAACATAGCAATTACAATTAGAAGTAGAGTTAGTTTGAAGTTAAGAATATAGTAAGAATTGTAAATAAAATTGTTTTTTTAATTTTTATTAATGTTTTATGATAGGTTTTAAACACTTATTTCTTATAATTTTGGATTTTTTTTTGTTTTTGTATTATAAAAATTTACAATGTGATTAGCTAATTTATATAAATTTCTTAATTAAGAAAATTAAAAAATGAATTAGTAATATCGATCTGAATAAGGTATATTTGATATATAAAGTTTTAAATACTATTATCAAAATTATCTTAATGAATTTACTATCAGCATATTTATATTTTAATGGTCTAATGCTTGGGTTGATAACTAAAAGAGTCATATACGTATTAGATATTTTGCAGATTCTAAACATAAGTTAAATATCAAATTAAAGATCAAATACCTGAACAGTACCAATCTGAAAGTTATTAAACATACTATTTTGAAACAATGATAATAGAATTTTTAAAAAATAATAAATTCACTAAATCTTACAAATTATATTTTATTATGTTTATTTTCATAAAAATTGTTATGACTTTGTCATTTACCATCACAGCTCTAAAATGAACGTCTCTAAGCACAACTCTTAATAAAATTCTCTCTAAATGCACGCTTCTTTAGGTCCAATGTATATAGAGAAATAAAGATTTTACATCATTTAAACGCAGCTTCTCTCTAAATACAAGATTATTGTTTCTTATTTTAAATTTCTATGCCTTAACAACTTATACTTAGAAAGTGCGACTGTATTTACTATTTCATTTTATGAGTATACTCGTCAATCATTATTTGAAGTAACGCACATGACCAAATATCGAACATTTGTACAACGATAATCACAGGATGTTATGTAATTTAATCTGTCGGTTTTACATCAATAACTACACTTTAACCGGTTTGACGTCCATGATTACTTTTATTATTTTAACCAGACAATTGCCAATCGATTGAGAATTATAATGAAAATATTTAATTGCTGATTATTTGATTATTTGAATATCGATTATAATTTTACAATGAACGTTTATGATGAAATTCCCGTTCTTAAAACAAAAATCGTAAAAGATGATGCATACCATAAAAATTATAAAGAAATGCTTAATATGGTAGAAACTTTAAATGAACGTTTAAATTTAGCGGTTAAACAAGGCCCCGATAAAGCAATTGAAAAGCATCTTAAACGTGGTCAATTATTAGTTCGTGATAGAATCGATCTTTTATTAGATGAAGATTCACCATTTTTAGAATTATGTCCTTTAGCAGGATGGGGCCAGAATGATATGACATTAGGTGGTTCAAGTGTTGCGGGTATCGGTCTTGTTTGTGGCGTAGAATGTTTAATAACTGGTAACGTTCCGACATTATTTGGAGGTTCATCCAACGAAGTTAGTGTCGCTAAAGGCGCTCGAATTAATGCTATAGCTTGGCAAAATAAATTACCTCTAATTCAATTAATTCAAACTGGAGGTGGTAAATTGGAACAGCAATTTAAAGTTTTTCATCCAGGTGGTGCACATTTTCGAAATTTGGCTGAGCGAACAAAAGCCGGCCTTCCTACTTGTAGTATAGTATTTGGTAGTTCAACAGCTGGTGGTGCATATTCACCTGCTTTAACTGATTACATTATTATGGTGAAAAATCAAGCTCAAGTGTTTCTTGGTGGTCCACCACTTGTTCAATTGGCTACTGGTGAAATTGTTGATGCTGAAAGTCTTGGTGGTGCCGACATGCACAGTAGAAAATCTGGTGTTTCTGATCAGCTTGCATTGGATGAACATGACGCTATATATAAAGCTCGTGAATTCATTTCTAGACTTAATTGGGAAAAAAGAGGAAAAATTCCTCAAAGTCACCTTGCTCCAAAAATAGATGAACCTTTGTATGACATTGGTACGTTATTTTTTATTTAACATGAATATTGATATAGATGTATACTTTTTTTTTACACTGATCCTTTTCTAAACTGATTATTATTAATTTAGATGAACTTCTTGGAATCGTATCTGCAAATATTAGAGTGCCCTTTGATGCTAATGAAGTTATCAATCGTATAGTTGATGGATCAAGGTTCACAGCATTTAAACCTCTTTATGGACCAAATTTAATCACTGGTTGGGCCGTTATTCACGGTATTGTTGTGGCATATTATTTAATATCAAAATACTTTTAAAATTGTATAACTAATCGTAACTTATTATGAATATTTACATTTACAGGTTTTCAGGTTGGTATAATAGCCTCTAACAATGTTTTGTTCATTCCAGAAAGTAATAAAGCGACTCAATTTATTCGAATGTGTAATATGATGTAAGAAATTTTATTCTCATATTCATATTATTCTACATAAAATTTAATTTAATTTATATTTTACGATTATAATAAAGGAATGTACCACTCATATTTTTTCAAAACACCACCGGATTCATGGTAGGTAAGAAATATGAGGAAGAAGGGATAATAAAAGCTGGAACACATTTTGTAAATGCCGTTAGCAACAGTCAAGTACCTGTTATTACTATTATGATGGGTGCTTCTTATGGTGCTGGGAATTACGCTATGTGCGGTAGAGCTTATAATACAAGGTGAAATATAATTAGTTTTCTGTAAAAGTGATTAACAATTGTAAAATCATGTATCCCATGAATTTAGTTTGGAAAATTTTCGACCTTTATAATTTTATAGATTTTTGTTTTCATGGCCAAATAGTAAATGTTCAATAATGGGTCCAGATCAATTAGCCGGAGTTTTGGATTTACTTGCTCGTGAAGCTGCTGCTAGGTATTAAAGCCTTTTCTTTTATTAACTCACATTTTTATAGATTCTTTACTTTTTACACTTTAAATATTATACATAGTGCGGGTAAAAAAATTGATGAAGCAGCAGCTGAGAGAAATAAAGCTTTTTTATCAAGTAAAGTTGAAAAAGAATCTGATGTATATTGGACAACATCAAGATTATTAGATGATGGAGTGATTGACCCAAGAATGACTAGAGTTATTTTGGGATTCTGTCTAAGCGTTGTTTATAATGAGAAAGTTGAGGGTGGTAACTTAGGTGGTGTTAGTAGAATGTAGGTTATAGATAATATGAGCAAATAGTTTTATTACTATGTGTTTTGTTTAGATTTTGCACGTTTTAATCTTTTTTAAAAAAAATTTTATCTATTTGATTGAAAGCAGTATAATAGTTTATAAGATTAAGCAAATATAAATAATTAATGTATATAATTTGAAATGTGAATGGATCTAATATAGTAACAAATAATTTTATTAATGATATCTATATTTGATTCATTGGAAGAAGAATCTTCTTTGCAAGCTGATTTATTATATTTACTACAAATTGTAGACATTTTATTTAGAAGAATTATCTTTAATAATAAAAAACATGTATGTATATTAAAAACATTTATTATCTGTTTATACATTAGATACAAAATAGACTACATAATATTTACGAGAAATTATTAACCTAGAGTACAATTGTCTAGACATACAAAGAAATTTAATAAGAATACATTGGATTAAAAAACGGGTCGTATGAATCCCTTCTAATAAATTTAATAAATCTTCCTGCCTTTTCAAGCACTGCTTTGCTTAATTTTGAAAATTCTCCCGATTCAAGTTTTATTTTCGTTTCTTGATTTTTATAAATTACTGCCCACCTATCAAATCTAACCTCTTCTAAACTTTTATAATGCTCAGCATACTTTGTCAATATTCGTAAATGGTCATCAGTAATTCCACATTTATCATTTAATCCCAATTTTTTAAAATTCACGTTACAAATGTTCAAAATTTTTCTTAATAAAGTTGATGTGATTGCAATGTCAAGGTCTAAATCAGTAAGAGATTCGGGGAAATGTGTAACTAATACTTGAATAAATGATTTAAATTTTGCATCCTTTGATTTCAAAATCAGTGATTCCAATTTTGATAGTTCCATCCATTTATTAAATTTTTCAGATAAGATATCCATTTTATTAACGTGCAATGCTAATCTAGTAATATTTGGTGAGTGTAGAATCATCGCATCCAATATTACTTTTGTATTCTCTGATGAATTGTCAAGAACAATCTCTTTTAATGTTTTTTCTGTCATCTGAAAAATTGGTTTAAAATCATGATTACTGTAAAAGATGAAAAGACTTTTAACAGAAAGAAATTGAGTAATTGGTAATAATTGATTTTGTACATTGGTCTTTTTTGTACAATTCCAAAATACTAAGGTTTCTAAATTTGGACAATTAGATAGAACTTCCAAAGATTCCAAGCATAGACGAAAATTAGAGAGTCCAAGCCAAGTCAAAACCATTAAAGCACGTGGAGATAAATGTCGTACAAAAATATTCATGTCATCACGAAATCTAGTTTTTTCGAGATGATAAAATGGTACGTATAACCTTTTAATATTGGTGAAAGGATTCAAAAGTGCTTCCCAGTTATCATAGAATTCTGTGAAAATAGGATCCAATGATAAAGAAGTTACATTCTCAGCAACAAGTCTATATTCCGGGAAGGTTTCAAAAGATAATTTGAATTTAGGATTTCCTCCAAAAGCAAATTCTTTCAAGCATGTAGAATTGAATAAGAGTCGTGTGATTTCTGTCATCAAATACATTATCTTATTACCAATTTCAAAAATTTCTGTTGATCTTATATCTTTATTTCTAAACCGTGACCAGTAATCTTTCAAAGCTGGATCAATAATTTGTGTGTTATCATACCATATTCTAATACATGTTTGAATATCTCTAAAATTAAACTCCTTAAGGTATTGATGATATCTAAACAAAGGTTGTTTAGGATTTCTTGGTAATTTAATACCAGCTTGTCGCAAATTTGCTTTAGTGACAGGATCTAGACATGACAGGTAAGTTCGAATTAGATAAATATATTTGTCATTCAAGCCACGTTTGGAAATCCATTTAAAAGGTGATCTCCAAAGAATAGGGATCATAAGGCGACACCAACTCCTATTGACCAAACAGTTAAATCTAGAACTGAATGGCAAATATTCAAATATAATATTGATGACATCATCCGGGAGAAATGGTGGATCTACAGCATCATTTGAGACTTGCTGGACTCTGCTTGACCATCGGATTCTTTTGTTATTAGTTGTTAGCTTATTATCTTTATTATATTTTGGAACAGTGGAAATTTTATTAACCCTTTTCTTTGGTTTTCGTGTTCTTAATTTTTGCATACTGATTTAATAAAGAAAATTATGTAACGAAAGTTAAGCTGAAGATACTCAATGATTGCTACTTATGTGATATGCATGTTACATACGTACTATGTAACACAAGATGCTCATTTATTACTCTTTCATAATTCATGATAATCAGACAAATCATGGCGGCCGCAGAGCATCCTGTATTATCAAACGTAACTTTCATCGACCCGACACCACCGCCAGATGACATTCCTAAAGTGGACGAAGTTGGAGCAACCTCAGCTCCGTTAAAATCAGTAGCATTTTTTATTGGTGCTTATTGTAAAGAATATAATGAAGATTTCATGTTATGTAAAAACGAAAATAACGATCCCGCACATTGTTTAAAAGAAGGTAGAAAAGTTACTAGATGTGCTATCGACTTGTGAGTGTCAATAAAGTAAGATTTTATGATGATCTGACTGATTAAAATGCCACTCTTTGAGTATGTAATAATTATCATAATTCTCTATAGAATTCGTAAAGTGCGTGAACATTGTGATCCTGAGTTTGAAGCTCATTGGCAATGCTTAGACAGAAACAACCAAGAACTTCGCCATTGTAGAGGATTGGAGCGAAAATTTAATTCATGTGTTTTTAGTGCCCTGGTATGTCCTATTATTAATATAAATACTGTCAAAAGAAAACACGTAAATCTTGATTTTGGGGGTTTCACTTTACGAAACATGAGCCTGCCGGTCTCTGAAGAATCGAATATTCAAGTACAAAATTTCTCATCTATTCATGGTTTTGATCAAATTAATTTAATTAATTTAATAAAGCCGTCATATTATCGTCAAAACGGTTAATCATCAGTTCTTAGGGGTTGGTGAGCTCATAACCTATGAAACGAGAATCAGAAAGTTTGAAGATTCTTTTAGTTGCGCTTACATCATAGTTTCTAAAGTGTCTGCTAAACTTAAGTCTCAATATAATTTATACAATAGAATCTAGAAAAAGGTATTCCTGGGACACCTCCGAACAAAACTCCTATTCATCTTAAAGAGAAACCTTTATATAAAGAACGCCCACGTTGGTAAAGGTTCAGAATAGCATAAATTTTCATTGTGAGTTGTTAAAAAAGTTTTAAGTAATTATAATTTTGAATTCATAAAAGAAACAAAAGTTGACTCTTTCGTTAATATTGCTCTAAAATCATCTATTTCATTTATTTAAAAAGCAACAAAAAACCAATTCAATGTATTGTCTAACCTCTAATAGAGCCAGACCTCTCTAAAGCAACCCCTTAAATGCATGCCTTCGCTTGGGCCCAACTAAGATAATACTTATAGATTCTTACCTTCCTAAATGCACGTTTAACTGGATTTTTATTTATGTTCCTGTCACCATACTTTATTATCTTATTTTATTAAATACCCGGGTTGCAACTCTAATTACAACCAATACTTAAAGTTGTAAATATGTCTTAATGGTTATAATTATCGTAATGCCATAATGGCAGCAATTGCATCATGGTAAGTGCCGTAATAGGTTGTAATCAAATTTTCTAAGGGTTGAATCCGTTAAAGTTATAACCTCGAAAAGTCAAGTCCTGGTTTTTTTTTGAAAGTACTTATGTTTGTGTGCTTGTATAAGCAAGCCAACCAGAATACTTTCAATACGGACAGGCACATCGTAGAGCTTTAATATCAGATATATAGTATAGATTTGAACATGCTCATGGTTATTGGCAGCGCGCATGGTTATTTGACAACCTACGCGTGATCTGTTCGCATACGCACTTGGTTTTTTTTTTTGAAATTAGCATTTAATTCCATAATAATCTTCGAAATCGCTGAAATCTCGTCAATATCTCGTTTGGGTGTGACTGCATGCACAATTACTTATTAGCATAATCAGATCATTATGCGTGTTACGACCGTTACGACCATTATACCTATTACAACTATTACATCTATTACGGCAAAAAATTACAACTTTGATATGGAAAGTTGCAACCTTCCAACTATAACCTTATCTGAAACTATATCTGCATATTAATAAAAAGTTTTCTTTGCGAATTTTGGTATTATCATATCCTTAGAACTTTAGCTTAATAACGAAACGTAACATAATACCATCATATCGAAGCTTTTCTGGCGAAAATGTTTTAAATTGGTAACGTTGGGTCGAATTATAAAGCTTATTATGTGAATTGCATTGTAAGCTAACACACCTAGCTTATAAAAAAAAATAGTTTACGATACGATTTCCCGAAAGTTATTTATCAGGGTGACAAATTGCTAAAAATATATACCTGCAGCTAATCAAATGCTAACCTTAACCCTACGTGATGTCGAGTAAATAGCTTTAAAAAAATATCCACATATAGGTAATAAAATCTAATAAGAATAAAAAATGTAAATATATTCATCAAATAATAAATTTGTTTTTTTTTTTACTCTGAGATATCGATGATATCGATGGGTTTACTCATCAAAGCCGAATTTTTGAGTGTATCAATTATTTGTAGTATATTATAAACTTCTAAAACTTTATTTTTAATTTTGTTATCTTCATCCGAACTTAATATTTCTTCAATCCAATATCCAATTAGAAAATTAACGGATTTTGCAGTAGGTCGTTTTTTAGGATTTGGATCCATACATCTCTTAGTTAATTCAATATAACAGTCAGGTGTCTCAGGGTAAATTCTAAACTTTCAAAAGCTTGTTTTCCGGTTGATATTTCCGTCATAATAACACCAAGGCTATAAACATCAGCTGCTTGTGTAACCATTTTATGATCCATCAAAACTTCTGGAGCGATGTAGTATTCAACACCGAATTTTTTACACATTTTAGAAAGTCCTAAATCAGCGATATACGCGCTACATAAATTGTCTTGTAAAATATTACCATTATGTAAATCTCGATGTTCTAGTCCTTGAGAATGGATAGCTACAAGATCGGAAGTTATGCAATATAATAATTTCAATTTATCTTTCCATCTCATTTTGCTATAGAACTAAGGTTCTTATTTAAAGAACCCATATTTGCATATTTTAGAACAAGGATATATTTTCCAGTTTCTCTCTTGATATACCATGGCATTTTAAAAATGAGGGATTCTCGTATCCGATTTCACAATACGCTTTCAGCTTTAAGAAAATATATTAATAAAAATCCAATAAAAAGATAATAATGCAAATGACAATAACTACCTCGTCTAAATAATTTTGATCATGTATTTTTTTAAGTGCGAATGTAACAGTTTCACTATATTTTTTAGTTTTCCTTATCCATTCCGCACTATATACAGTTGCAAAATAACCTTGTCCGACCTCTTTGATATTTTTAAATTCATTATAAGGAATCCACGTTAATTGATATTTATTATCATCTAATAATTTTTTCACAATATCATTAATGCTAAATTTTTCATGTGTTGATTTGATCGTTTCGTGAGCATTGTTTAAATCTATTTGTGTTCCGATTCCATTCCGATAACAATATCCGAGTCGACTCATCGCTCCATTATTTCCCATTTCTACTGATTTTTTAAAATATTCGAATGATTTATATTCATCCTTTTCAACACCTCCTTTTTCATAACAATCTCCAACATTATATATTCCATTAATGTTCCCCATCTCAGCAGATTTTTGATAATAAATGAATGCCTTATGTTCATCCTTTTCAACTCCAATTCCATTACGATAACAATATCCAACTTTATTAATTGCGGTTGCATTTCCCATCTCGGCAGATTTTTGATAATAATGAATGCTTTACATTCGTCCTTTTCAATTCCAGTTCCTTTTTCATAACAATTTCCAGCATTAAATGTTCCATTTGCACTTCCCATCTTAGCAGATTTTTGATAATAAATGAACCCCTATGTTCATCCTTTTCAACTCCAATTCCTTTTTCATAACGAAATCCAACATTAGATGTTCCATTTTACTTCCCACCTCAACAGATTTTTGATAATAAATGAATGCTTTATGTTCATCCTTTTCAACTCCAATTCCATTATCATAACAATTACCAAGATTGTTTGTTCCAGCAGCATTTCCCATCTCAGCAGATTTTTGATAATAAATGAATGCCTTATGTTCATCCTTTTCAACTCCAATTTCATTATGATAACAATATCCAACATTATAAATACCATTAGCGTCTCCTATCTCAGCAGATTTTTGATAATAAATGAATGCCTTATGTTCATCCTTTTCAACCCCAATTCCATCAAGATAACAGTCACCAGGTGCACCTATTCCATTAGCGTCCCCCATTTCAGCAGATTTTTGATAATAAATGAATGCCTTATGTTCATCCTTTTCAACTCCAATCCATCTTGATAACAATGTCCAACTTGAAATATTCTATCAGCGTTCTCCATCTCTGCAGATTTTTGATAATAAGTGAACGCCTTAAATTCATCCTTTTCAACCCCTATTCCATATTGGTAACAATATCCAAGATATATTTCCATATTGACAAGTTTTGAAAATAAGAAATAAGCAAAATTTAATAATGCTTAACAGTTAAATATGCAACTGTGCTATTTACAGGATTTTAGTACTATATCAGGAACGCAGTGAAACGAGCATATGGTTAAATTCGAATTTTGTGTTCGTCCACAAATTCTTGATTCGTGCGGCATCAAATTAATCTTTTTCGATACCAAATATGGATTTACTTATTTGTACACGAATGCTACAAATCCAAAAAAAGGAATTCAACGTAAAAATAAACCAAATTCGTGAAATTAACAATTTAGTGTTAGAGGCGATAAAAATAAATAAATCATTTCCTACGTGTAAAATTTCATTCCCGTCATTTTTAATTAGTGCTTCAAGATGGGTTTAAACACTTGTTTTCTTGTATTTTTGCTTTTTTTCTGGCTTTGCGCACGTGTCGGACTGATAGGATAATCACTTTTTACGTCTAATTTCCCTTTTTGATTTACTGTAATCATAATGTAATTAGTTTATAACTAATTTTTTTTTTAATCGTTTTGGCAGCCCTTGTTGTTACACTTTTTTAGGGTAAATATTTTTATAATCTACCCTATGGTTACTTCTATAAGCATCTGCAAGTAATCTGCTGCACTAGTCAGATACAAGAAGTAAACTTTATTGTAAAACTGTCTTTGAGGAGCTCATTCAGCCACTGCCCTACAATAGAATGTCTATGAAGTTTAAAATTAGAGCCATTTTTATATACTGTGTAATATAATAGTAAATATTATGTCAGATATTATTATTATTATTATTATGCATTAAGAACTTTTTAGCCTTTCGATGAGAACTTTACTCTTCAATAAGCTAATTGATAATAAAATAAAAAGAATATCTTTAAACTTACTAACATGCTCACATGCTTTAGTGCTTATGACTCGTACCAAGTCTGGCCGTAACATATACTAAGCTCTCCTGAAATCGTAATAACAATCCCAGCTCCTAATCCCTCAGTCTAAAGTCTGGAATTACAATAGACAATAATGACTGTAAATTTGCCTGTGATTACTCACCATAAGACCACACAAACTTATATAATCGTCTGATTGGCTTATTGATTCAATTATTCGGGAACTAATTCATTAAAAGCATGCAAAACAGGGATAATCAAAATCTAGAGAAATTAGAAGACAAAATTTAATATTGTTGACCAGAAGCTGAATACGGTCAATTAAAGACTTTCCAAATGTTCGGTGCATGTTTTGGTCTTAGATGCGTTATATGTACGCTGTTTATTTTCAGAGGCCATTCAAATCTCTTTCATGTACTTAGCCAATAAGAAATTACTGCACGAGTGCACGGGATTTTGAATACAAAATAATACTAAATTGCATGTAAACATATACAGTACAGTACAGCGAACTGCACGTCTAAAACGTGTAAAACGGCGCGAATTCAGTGCACTTTTACGTGTGTCATTGGGGTGTTTGATATACTATGTAAATCAAAATTATGTGTGGTTATATTATTTTTGTAATAATCAGGCATTTTTAGGATCTTCGGTTTCATATTTTTAGATGCACAAGTTGTATCATCTTTTTATCCAAAGTCTGGCATAAGTTGATTCTTCGTTACCACCATTACAAAATTACGTAGTTTTTACATTATATATGGGAAATAAAATTTTTTTTTCAACCTATTTTACTTGCACTTGCTACCTGGATCGCTTGGAAAATTTTTTAAATCAATTAGTATTTTTTTTTAACTAAATATAAGTTTCGCTTTGTAACATTGTTTATTGGAACTTTATATTAATCTGTTCAAAGTTTGGATTCATGATTCTTAGTTGTTAAGACTATACATTTAATTAGAGGTTATCGAAGCTCATATAACAATCAATCTTCACAAAAATCTTTGATATTAAATTTTTATATGGTATCATCTATAGTTTATTTACATAGTATATCGAACATCCTAGCGTGTCACGTATACTTTTTCGTGTAGTAACGTATTTTTTTACATACATTCCATATACTTTTCCTTACAGTTACATATATTACGTGTTTATATTTTTTCATTTTTTTCAATAATCAATGTCGCGACTGAAGTTGGAAATTAGAGAGCTCGATTTAGAAATGTAAACTCTACCAAAATCCACTTATACTCTTTTATGATCAAAGCTAACCCTAAATTAGAACCTAATTATAAAAAAAATGCACCCAATAATTTTTTAAAAATCTCAGAATATTTAAATTTTCCAGCTTCAGCTGCGACAATTATTCCGTGCAATGAGTGAATTACGCATTTTATCCGTGTTAAAATCTGTGTACTGATTTTTTATAGGGCTGTTAATGTCATATCATATCATTACGACTGTTTGGAAGAGCAATGTTTATAGTGCCACTTGTATTCAACAAGATAATGCTTGAATATAAGCACAAGACTATGTAAAGTTAATAAATAGCTCGGCTGGGTCAATTTTTGAAAATAATTTTTTTATATTGCAAAAATAAAAATTCTTCAATAAAAAAAATTTTAAAAATAAAATTTAATTCAATGTTATCGTTACAGTATAAGACAATTAAATTTATTTTGTATGACCTAATTCATCTAAACCACAAAAGTTTGTTTATTAAATATTTACTGCATCATCAGCCGCTGCTAAGCCGTGGTTGAGCCACAGTAATTTAAATCACGGCTGGAATGGTGTACATTGATCTCATTAATCATTGTTATTTGGACTTTTACTTGGTGCTCCATCAGTAAACAAATCTAATTCATTAAATACATCATATTGATCATTAGATTTACTAAAGCTAATACCTAGCATTCCATTAGTAAAAAATTCTAATTCATTAGATACATCACATTGATCATTAAATTTTCTAAAGCTAATATCTAGCATTCCATCAATTAAATGACAAGGATTATTTTCAAATGATGTTTCATAACTTAAAAGATAGGCATCACTACAATCGGTATTATGGAAGGAACTGGTTTGCATAGCGTTATAGTCATTACCAAAATTAGATACGTTATTGGAATCTGATAAAGAGTTGGCAGAAGGATTATTAGTAAACAACAATTAAAGTCGGGTCTAAAAAGTTTCTTGACAAATTTATTGTAAAATATATGCTTACCATCATAACCAAATTGATGAGTTTTAGGTTTTCGACCGCGCTTCAAGGAAGGCTTTAAATATGAGCATGTATGTCCCTTGCGTGAGCATGTTTCGCAAGGTAACTCACCGGAACATTTTTTCTTTTTCTTATTATCTCGACAATTATCACACGCTTGAGTCACGTGCTTACGTTGTTGAGTTTGAGCTGTTAGCATACTATTGGGGATAATTTGTTTGGGTTCAAGTATGAGATAAAAGATTGAAAGTGAGTTCTATTTATATAAATTTCATAGATAAACGGAATTATTTAATTAAACCGTGAATTGGCAGCAAAGATTTTTGCGAATAAATATGCCATATATTATTCGTGATATTAAAGTTAGGATTGGGTGATTTTCATAAGTAAAGTTACCAACAAATTTATTGTAACGCCTTACCTGTGCTCTTTGATTGAATGAAAATCTACGGAATTTTTATGCGCAGCTTATACATTTTATCAGTAACATCGGATTTTTTATAAATGGTGGAAGTATAAAATCAAATTTGGCTTATCGCCTATTTTCAAAATAGTATTTTTTTGTGATCTTTGAATTTGAATGATTTGAATGGTTAGAATGAAGGTGCATAAGTATACTCGCGTTTCAAAATACAAATAGCTTTACGTATGCTAGTTATGCCAAAAATATCACGACAACGTGATTCCTGATTACAACAGAGACCGTTAATGTTACACGTATATTAAAACTGGTGAGGGATTATATCCATCACAATTGAATCCAACATAAATAATTTAATTTGTGATTGTACACAGGCGAGAGGGATTCACTTTGGATCGTGCACTGTCTCTGCTGTAATTCCTGATTGTTACATAAGGGCAATGCCATTAATCACCTGACTTTTTTTATCAGAGTACTAATCCCCTTCCCTTCTATTTTATATGTTTTATTATTGATAAGTATTCTACGCCACTGACTACTATAGTATATTCTGCCGTAATACTTTCCCCGGTATAATTCATGGGTTCATGGGTTCATGGTCTAGAACATTGAAAAAGACCCGGATATTATTCTCGTTAGAATATAATATTTACATTTGAAATCCTTATGAAGCTAATATTAAACTATGTAAAGCATCTCTCTCCCCCGCAATTAGTATCCGGGAGGATACTATCACTATTCAAGAAACTTGATGATTTATTGAATAATGCCCGGGATAGAATTGGAATGGGGCCAATACTGAGCCAATGGGGCTCAATAATTATGCAAATAGTGCTCCAAAAACTAGTATCCATTGACCTCATTCAGAGCTCCATTGAATTCCTTGTGCCCGGGGTACCAGCAATGGCGACAGTAATCATAAATTTCCCATGGTCACATGATACATGTATTTTATCGTCTATAATTGGGAGAGTTTTTAAATTAATAATTTATCGGACACAATTCCTAAAAAGATCAGATAGACAAAAAATGCTGCAAAATGCAAAAGCTGGTAAGCAGATCTCAAAAAAAAATAGCAGATTTCGATAAATTATAAATGTAAAAAGCCCTAAATGTGGTTTTGCCTAATTTATAACAATAGGTAGAAAATTAAATTATAAATTTCTAGTCATTTATGCAGTTTAAAGTACCGCTCCTTGTATCCCCATAGGATGTAACCAGTGATAACAATAGAATAGAGCAATAGAATTTAGAATAAGATTTTTGTTAATAGAACAAAAAATTGGCAAGATTATAATTAGATATTAATAGAGCAACAAATAAATAAAAAAAAGAATAGAGCAATAGAAATTAGAATAAAATATAATTTTTATCAATAGAACAAGAAATTGACAATACTGATACAAACCGCATCATATATACTCGGGTATATATCTATCATATAAATACAAAAAGTTTTTTTATTCGAAAACATTAATATAGAAATTGCAATTACAAGTAAAACCAAAATTGCTATTTTCAATGAGCTTTGGCGAAATTAATTAAATGGTGTTTAAAATAACATTTCGGAGTGATATTTCATGACGATACGGTATTTTAACTTTAGAAAAACTCGATAACGCGTCCTTAACTAAGACTTGGGTGTCATCATTTATTTGCCATCCCTGCCAACCTGATTGTAAATAATACCCGTGATATAATTTGTTTACATACAGTACATTCAAATATTGCACTTGAAGTACCCTGAATACTAACCTAAATTAAAATTGAAAGTTTTGAATAAAACCACGGATACTATTAGGATATTATAAACAAGGTTAAGCTCTCCTATTCGATTTCTGAAACATTGAGAATTGCGTAACTGAGATTTCTAGAATCTTATATTATTTATACGTAGTATCAGTACGTGCCAATTGACTAAATGTAAGACAAATTTACAATCCATGGATATGATGATGTTACCTATTAAAGAATTATTGATGTATTTGCGCTTATTCATAATACTGCTAGATCATTACACTGAACCTGTTTAGGTAGGTGAATATTGAGGATTGTTGTAAAATGATTGTTTTGAAGGACATGTATTTTAAATTATTCTTTGTCAAACCCTAATTTAGCAATTTCCTAATATTTAAAATATATCGATATAATTTGGAAATTGGTCGAAAATAGGAATTTTCGAAGACCATTGATGTTACACGTATATTAAAACTAGTGAGGGATTATGTCCATCACAATTGAATCTACATAAATAATTTGTGATTGATCACAGGTGAGAGGGATTCACTTTGGATCGGGCACTGTCTCTGCTGTAGTATGTGCGTACGTATGTACGTATATATATTGCGATTTATCTGGAGTTGCCACTTTAGATATCTAAAGAGCACCAAATGGTCCTACGATTGATTGAGTACAGAATTTTTTTGAAAAAAATTTCGCTGAGATTTTTAGTGCGTCGCTGCAAGATATGAGGCATATATGTAGGGGTGCTGATGCAAGGCGCAATAATGCAGGAAGTTGATGGCAGACTTTATTGATTATAAATGAGAACGTTATCATGTGATGACGGTTTTACAATATGCATTAATTTTTTATTAATTCTCCATCTGAAGCAATCCATAGCGATGGTAAATTTTATATTTAAATTAATCTTGTTATATCCGTTTACAAGACATCAAGTGAATCCAGTGAATCTATTGCGGTTGTCGTCACCACGATTCGATAATTTCGAATTTATTTCGGATGATAAATGGATACGTAGCAAAAAGTATCCACCATATAAAATAGTCGGATAAATTTCAACAGATTCAAACATTAAATGCAAGTTATTACTGCATACCTTACATATATATAAATAAAAGCATATGACATGTATATTTTATTTTAATTAAAACTATTTTAGTTTTTTTATTATTTGTTATATAGTATTGGTCGTCTTATTAAGTGCGATACATCAACCTGATACATTTAAATTAAAATGTAATTACACAAAATTTTACATATTAATTTGCAATTAAATAAATGTATTTAATATTTGATGATTTATAGAATATGTTTATAAAAAAAATTAAATTAATTTTAATTACAAATTGTTTAAACAAATCTCAATATTGGTTAATTTTTTTAAAAAAAATTAAAAAATTAAAATATTTTGGTATATTTCTAAATTAACCAATCATAATTAAGTATTTTTGTGCTATTATGCAAGTACCTTGGTGTAACCTTGATATATAAACTTGCACAATTTCAACTATAATTATAATGTAAAAAAAAATTATAGTAAAAAAAAATACCTATTTAAATTAGTTTACTATATAAAAAATTAGTAATTTTATATAGTAAAATTAATTTTTTTCTTTTTGGTTTTTTGTTAAATGATCTAAATAAATAGAAAAATAGTAGAGTAATTTCTATTTAATATAGTTTATAATTTTTAAAAGCTTAGTACAGGTTTATAATTGTAATTGTTTAATATCTGTAAATTGTAAGTTTTATATCTAACACAGACTTAAAATTATAACTATCTGATTTTTTATAAATTACAAGTTTTACACTTTTTTTTTTATCTATTTTCTTTTATCCTTTTATTTCTTGCTTTGTATTTTTTATTATATATTTCTATATCTTTGTTTTTTTTTATATATAAAATCTTTTTGTTTTTTTTGTTTTTTTTTATTTTTTTACAAGATATTATTAAATTAGTAGTATTTTATTGTAAAGCAGCAATTAGACAAGCAATTTACCTCTGTTTGAGATAGTGTAGCAGATTATACTTAAATATCAATAAAGTGACTGGGTAATACTAGACTTAAATATTAGAAAAATTCTATATAATTTGTATAGTTTTAAGAATTTTAATAAAGTACTAATATAATTGTTTAAGTAAAAAAAATATATAATATATATATATATATAAATTAGTAATTATAAATTTTTTTTGGAATTTAAAAATTATATTTATATTTATATATATAAAATAAACTTTTTTTTTTTTTGAATTTTGGTAACAATGCCAGTTGGTTTTTATTAGTCTTAATTTGATATAGTACAAATTTATGGTTACATTTTAGGATCGATTATTACTAGTACTATATACTATCTAATTTAA